CACCCCCCACACCCATCCATCCATCCACTCACCCATCCATCCACCTACCCATCCATCCACCCATCTATCCATCCATCCATCCACCCACCCATCCATCCACCTATTCATCCACCATCCATCTATCAACTATCCATCCACTGATGCATTCATCTTCCATCCATTCATCTATCCATCCATCCATCCATCCATGCATCCATCCACCCAGCCAGCCAGCCAGCCAACTATCCATCCAACATGCATTCATCTATCTGTCCATTCATCCACCCATCCATCCATCCACTCACCAAGCTATCTATCCATCCACCAACCCATTCATCAATCTATCCATCCATCCATCCACCCACCCACCCATCCACCCACACATCTAGCCAACTATCCATCCACTGATGCTTTCATCTTTCCATCCATCCATCCGTCCATCCATCCATCCATCCATGCACTCACCAAGCTATTTATCCATCCACCAACACATTCATCTATCCACCCATCCATCATCCATCCATCCATCTAACCATCCATTCACCTACCCACCTATCCACTTATCATCTGTCCATCCAAATATCAATGATGATGATTATCTCAAAAGCTACCATGTGCGGCGGGGGAGAAGGGGCTATTGGGACAAAATCCTGTACCAAGCCTTTTACACAAGGCCTCTGTCCATATCTCCCATGCTCCCCCTCAATCACTTGACTCCAGGCACCTGCGCCTCCCAATGCTCACTGAACGCACCAGGAAGGTGCCTGCCTCAAGGCCTCTGCACCAGCTGTGCCTCTGCTTGCAACGCTCTTCCTCCAACGTCCTCAGGGCTCCCTCCTCTCCTCTTCCAGGGCTTTGCTCAGTGAGGCCTTCCCCAGCCATCCTGTCTACAACCGTACCTCCCTTGGTGGCACTCCCCACCCCCTGCCCTGCTTCACTGATAGCCTTAGAACTCAGCACCAGCTGACATGCTGGCTGTCTTATTTTGTTCACTGTCTCCCCCACTCGAATGTGAGTCCCCCAAGGTGGGGATCTTGATCTCATTCACAGCTGAGTCCCCAGCCCCTTGCACAGGGTTAGATTAGGTGCTTGATAAAAACCTGATCAATGAATAAAGGTAGCCTGGGCAACATGGCAAAACCCCATCCCTGCAAAATATAGAAAGATTAACTAGGCGTGGTGGTTCACACCTGTGGTCTCAGCTACTTGGGAGGCCAAGGTGGGAGGATCGATTAAGCCTAGGAGGCAAAGGTTGCAGTGAGCCAAGATTGCACCACTGAACTCCAGCCTGGACAACACAGTGAGACCCTGTCTCAAAAAAAAAAAAAAAAAAAAAAAAAAGAGAATAAATGAAGAGAGAATAAATGACCACTCCCAATTTACAGGTGTGGAAACCAAGGCCCAGACAGCTAAAATGACTTGTGCAAAGGGCCAAACTGAGTGAGTGGCAGAGCAGGAGTCCAGCCCCGCTGTGCCTGATAAATATTACAATAATCCTGTGGATGAACTCATTTCATCTTCACAACCACCCTGTTTCTGCCAATGGCCAATGCTATCATCATCCCCATTTTACATGAGAAAAGCAAGCCCTAAAGAGGCTCAGGCCCTTGCCCAAAGTCATAGTATGAGAGCCAGGTTTCAAAAGATTTTAAAAGGTCCCTGTGGCCTCATATGGGGAACAGATGAAGGGTGGGCAGGGAAGGGAGAGAGGAGGCTGCTGGGGCAGTCCAGGTGGGAGACCACGGCAGACAGGACTGGGGGTGTAAAAGTGGAATGGGTTATTTCTGGATCAGTTTCAGAGCTAGAAGGGACAGGACTTGCTGAGGTGTGCTCAGAGGAGGTGTGTTAAGAAGTGGGAAGAGGCCGGGCGCAGTGGTTCATGCCTGTAATCCCAGCACTTTGGGAGGCCGAGGCAGGAGGATCAAGAGGTCAGGAGTTCAAGACCAGCCTGGCCAATGTGGCGAAACCCCGTCCCTACTAAAAATATAAAAATGAGTTGGGCATGGTGGTGCATTCCTGTAATCCCAGCTACTCTGGAAGCTGAGGCAGGAGAACTGCTTGAACTGGGACGGGGGCGGGTGGGGGGGGGGAGGGCGCGGGCGGAGGTTGCAGTTAGCCAAGATCATGCCACTGCACTCTGGCCTGGGCTACAGAGCGAGACTCCATCTTAAAAAAAAAAAAGTGGGAAGAGGCTGGGCATGGTGGCTCACGCCTGTAATCCCAGCACTTTGGGAGGCCAAGACAGGCAGATCACTTGAACTCAGTTCAAGACCATCCTGGCCAACATAGTGAAACCCTATCTCTACAAAATACAATATAGCAGGGCATGGTGGCACGCACCTGTAGTCCCAGCTATTTGGGAGGCTGAGGTGAGAGGACCTGGGTTGTCAAGGCTGCAGTGAGCCAAGATCGCACCACTGCACTCCAGCCTAGGCGACACAGCAAAGCCCTCTTAAAAAAAAAAAAAAAAAGGGCTGGGTGCGGTGGCTCACCCCTGTAATCCCAGCACTTTGGGAGGCTGAGGCGGGTGGATCACGAGGTCAGGAGATGGAGACCATCCTGGCTAACACAGTGAAACCCCGTCTCTACTAAAAATACAAAAAAAACAAAAAACAAAAAACACCAATTAGCCAGGCGTGGTGGTGGGCGCCTGTAGTCCCAGCTAGTTGGGAGGCTGAGGCAGGAGAATGACATGAACCTGGGAGGCAGAGCTTGCAGTGAGCCAAGATGGCGCCACTGCACTCCAGCATGGGCAACAGAGCGAGAGTCCGTCTCAAAAAAAGAAGTGGGAAGAGCCAATACTGTCTCTATAGATCCCAGTTTGAGTAATGGGGCAAGTGGAAGTGCTCTGTACTGAGATGGAGAAAATGGGGAGGGCAGGATTTGAACCCAGCACTCTGCCTCCAGGGCCTCTGCTCCTAATCAATAACCAATGCTATCCTGCAAATATCTGCTGAGATCCTACTATCTGCCTGGCACTATTGCAGGCACAGGGAATGGGTGATCACATGACAGTGGGAATGGGGAGAGGAATAGAATTATCCACGTCATGATTTTCTCTGCACCTGGATGTTCTCCTCTACACAACGGAGTTAACTGTCCCACCTTGCAAAGCTGTTGTGACACTCATAAACCCCTTGGCCTCATAAAAAGCAGTCCATCCGTGTCACTCCTGATCAGCTACTAGCCTCAAACTCTTCCTCTCAATTATTCGTAGCCTGAAGACAGACCCAGGTCTCCTCAATTCCAAGGCAAGCAGCACTGGCCCCAGCCTCTCCGCAAGCCCCACTTCCCTTTTCTTTCCCCCACTTCTTCTTTTTTTTTCAGACAGAGTCTCGCTCTTGTCGCCCAGGCTGGAGTGCAATGGCGCGATCTCGGCTCACTGCAGCCTCCACCTCCCAGGTTTAAGCAATTCTCCTGCCTCAGCCTCCCGCATAGCTGGGATTATAGGCGTACACCACCACGCCTGGCTAAATTTTGTATTTTTAGTAGAGACTGGGTCTCACCATACTGGCCAGGCTGGTCTCGAACTCCTGACCTTGTGATCCTCCCGCCTCGGTCTCCCAAAGTCCTGGGATTATGGGTGTAAGCCATCGCGCCCAAGCTATTTTTTTTGTATTTTTAGTAGAGACAGGGTTTCACCATGTTGGCCAGGCTGGTTGGTTGGGCACTGTGACTCATGCCTGTAATTCCAGCACTTCGGGAGGCCGAGGCAGGTGGATCACCCTCTTTTTTTTTTTTTTGAGGTGAAGTCTTGCTCTGTCGCCCAGGCTGGTGCAATCTCGCCACCACGCCCGGCTACTTTTTTGCACTTTTATTAGAGATAGGATTTTGCTATGTTACCCAAGCTGGTCTCCAACTCCTGGTCCCAAGTGATTAGCCTACCTCGACCTCCCAAAGTGCTGGGATTATAGGTGTAAGCCACCACGCCCGGCCTGCCCTCTCACCACAAATCTCCTTCTCCTGGGTAACTTTTCATCATCAGAAGTATCTTCTTCCATGCTGGGCGCGGTGGCTCACACCTATAATCTCAGCACTTTGGGAGGCCTAGGCGGGCGGATCACCTGAGGTCAGGAGTTTGAGACCAGCCTGACCAACATGGTGAAACCCCATCCCTACTAAAAATACAAAATTAGCCGGGTGTGGTGGCCTGCGCCTGTAATCCCAGCTACTTGGGAGGCTGAGGCAGGAGAATCACTTGAACCCGGGAGGCGGAGGTTGCGGTGACCTGAGATTGTGCTGCTGCACTCCAGTCTGGGCAACAAGAACAAAATTAGGTCTCAAAAGAAAGGAAAAAAAAGTATGCTCTTCCAGGAAGCTTTACTGACACCCCTTGGCTGGGTCACGTGCCTCCTCTGGGCTCCCACATCTCCATCCCAGCACAGGGCCTGACACATGGGAGTTGAGGCAAGTTAGATTGAATGAATAAATTAAACACACAGCACACTCACGGAGATGAAGAGACAGGAAAAGGGGGCCAACAGCACAATACAGGTTCGCTTCTTAAATGAGCGGTAGGTATGGCCCTCTGCGCTCACGGGGGGGGCACGAAACTGTCCTAAGGGTGTGGGCGACAGCAGGCGGGCACTGGGGAGCCACGGAAAGGTGGGGAGCAGGGGAGGGCGGATCGCTAAGTGCAAATGAATGAAAGTTGCATTTCTCTGCATGTCGCACGCTATCCTGTCCCAAGTTGTTTTCTTCTAAAGGAATTTCCTAAAGAATCGCCCCCCAAGGCGCCCCCTACCCAGACCTGGCATCCCAGCGCTCTGCACACCTCGGGGTTCCAGATCCTTGATCTCGTGACCTCCGACCTGCAGTGACCTCGCCAACCGCCGCGGCCGCCCCGCCACGCCCCTGCCCGCCCGATCTCCTCCGCCGGCCACGTACGCCACTTACGCAGCCGGGGCGTCCCCGCCGCCGCTGCCGCCGCCAAGCCTGCCGGGTGCATCCTTCGCCGCCGCCGCCGCCTCAGCCGCGGTTCGGAACGTGCCCCCCCGGCTCCCGTACCCACGCCCCGCCGGCGAAGAGACAGCCAATGGACGTCAGGATTGAGGGAGGGCCACGCCCTCCCACGGAGGCCTTGGCGAGTGGGCGGTGCCTTACGTAAGAGGCGGAGACTGGGTTACTGGGCTCCTGCTGTAAAGCGAGTCAGGGCCTGAGGGGCAGGAGGCGGGGCCGGGAACAACCCCAGGAGGAGGCGGTGTCTGCCATGACAGAAAGTGAGTGTGTCTGCCCTTTGCGGGGGCTCACGCCGGTAACTCCAGCACTTTGGTAGGCCGAGGCGGGAGGATTGCTTGAGCCCAGGGATTCAAGACTGGCCTGAGCAACATAGTGACCTCGCCCCACCCCATCCCTACAAAGTTGTTTTTTTTTGTTTTGTTGTTTTGTTTTTTGTTTTAATTTAGCCAAGCGCAGTGACTTATGCCGGTAATCTCAGCATTCTGGAAGGCCGAGGATGGCTTGAGCCCAGGAGTTCGAGACCAGCCTGGGCAACAGCAAGATCTCCATCGCTACAAAACATTTTTAAAAATGTAAATATCGAGCGAAAGGGTCGATGGGAAATGCAGTTCTCTACAGACAGGCGTTCAATTTGGGTCGTTGAGAGCACTGGAGGGCCAGAGAAGGCTGTGGAGCAGGGAAAAGAGAAACATTTGTGTTCCTGAGGGGCTAATAGGAGTTGTAGGGGCTTATACAATTTTTGACAGCCCTTAGGTATTAAAGTAATTATTTATTTATTTTGAGACAGGGTCTTGCTCTGTTTCCCAGGCTGCCTCGGACCCCCTGGGCTCAAGTGATCCTCCTGCCTCAGCCTCCCCAGTAACTGGGACCACAGGCATGCACCACCATGCCCAGCTAATTTTTAGTCAAAACAGGATCTTGCTATGTTGCCCAGGCTGGTCTCGAATTCCTGGGCTCAAGCCATCCTCCTGCTTCAGCCTCCTAAAGCGTTAGGATGACAGACATGAGCCACAGTGCCCAGCCTTAAAGTGAATATTTAGAGTGAGAAAAGGAAACCCAACAAGGTAGGCGAGAAGAACCAGGTGTCTCTCTTGGAAGAGATCTTAAGGCAGTTTCCCAGAAATTCATAAAAATGTTCTCACATTGCAACCTGGTTCCCTCTGTCCACCAAAAGCATTCTACAACCCCCAGCAACTCACAGCACACAGGTGCACCTGCAAGTGAAGAGCCCTGCCGGCCAAGCGTCCTTAGTCTCTCCCCTCTCTGCCCCTCAGTCTCCGCCTTTCTCTCCCTCTCAGACTCCCCGACTTATCTCAGGAAAACATAGTGGTGGAAGTTACTTCTGCGCAGCGATAGCGCATCCGGAAGGATGTCAGCAAGTGACCCTATCGCTGTGGCTTCCCCTTCCTCCTCTGAGACATTGTCTTTTTGGGGACCCTAAGGGCTGCTCCTGGTTTCTCAGTGATGAGTCCTGGCTCCACTGTGGTTCCTTTTTGTGAGTGAAATTCTCGCATTCTTCTTCACCTCTGATTTAGCCTCTGTCCCCTGGGCTCCAACACCATTTTCTCCTCATCCTCAGCCCTCTCTCTTGCTCTGGTTGCTCCAGATACATCTCTTCTATAAATTTTTTTTTTTTTTTTTTTTTTTAGATGGGGTTTTTCTCTTTTCCCCCGGTTGGGGTGCGGTGGTTTGATCTCGGGTCACTGCAACCTTTGCCTCCTGGGTTTAAGCGATTCTCCTGCTTCAGCCTCCCAAGTAGCTGGGATTACAGTTATGCGCCACCACACCTGGCTAATTTTTTGTATTTTTAGTAGAGATGGAGTTTCGCCGTGTTGGCCAGGCTGGTCTCGAACTCCTGACCTCAGGTGATCCACCTGCTTCAGCCTCCCAAAGCGCTGAGATTACGGTCGTGAGTCACCGCGCCCAGTCTTATATATATGTTTTTAATTAATAAAGCAAGCTGCCAGGTACGGCAGATCACGCCTGTAATCTGAGCACTTTGGGAGGCCAAGGCGGGCAGATCGCCTGAGGTCAGTTCGAGACCATGCTGGCCAACATGGCGAAACCCTGTCTCTACTCAAAATACAAAAATTAGCTGGGTGTTGTGGCAGGCACCTATAATTCCAGCGACTTGGGAGGCTGAGGCAGGAGAATCGCTTGAACCCAGGAGGCAGAGGTTGCAGTGAGCCGAGATTATGCCATTGCACTCTAGCCTGGGAGACAGAGCAAGACTGTTGTCTCAAAAAAAACCAAAAAACAAAAAAAGCAAGTTCATTGGCTTCCCACTGGCCTCATGTTCACCCTTTACCAATTATGTGACTACTACTTTTTATTTTTTTGAGGCAGGGTCTCACTCTATCACCCATACTGGAGTGCAGTGGTGTGATCGTAACCCATTGCAGCCTCTAATTCCTGGGCTCAATCGATCCTCCTGCCTCAGCCTCCCAAGTAGCTGGGACTACAGGCACATGCCACCCTGCTTGGCTAATTTTTGTATTTTTTGTCGAGATGGGGTTTTGCCATGTTGCCCAAGCTGGTCTCAAATGACTACTTCATTTTTAAGCCTAAACTTTCTCATCTGTTTGGTGGGAATCATACTGGGAGGGGGCAGCGGGGGAGGGGGCAGTTGAGAATTCAGTGCAAGTTCAGGTGTCCACAGGGCCTGGCAGAATGTAAGCCTTCCATCACTGGCACCTACTGTGTTACTGTTTCTATTATCAGGTGCCTCTACTTCTGGATTGTCAACCCCAAGTTGGGCTCTGCCCCATGATCTGCCAGCTCTTTAATAGAACCACCTGGGGCATGTCTGAGCTGAGCCCCAAGCCCCACTCCTCTGCCAGTCAGATGGGGTCAGGACTCTGGGCTGCCCTCCAAAAGGCTCTCAGGAAGGCGCTGAGTTCTGGCTGGAGTCAGAAGTGGAGAGACTTACAGGAGGGGTACAGAAGGAAAACTTTTCTCTTAAATAGAGGCGTGTGTTTGTGATTCTGCCTGGCTCGTTTCCATTCATCCTTCAGGCTTCAGCTCAGCTAGCCCCTTCCTGGGGAAGCTCTCTTGACCTCCCTAGGCAGGGGTGGTTGTTTCCTCTGGACTCCCAGGGCCCTCTAGGGCTCCCGGATTCCAGCCTTGATCTGTACCCTTGCTTCCCTCATCACAGCCCTGACCACTCTGGGCTTTCTTTCTTTCTTTCTTTTCTTTCTTTCTTTCTTGCTTTCTTGCTTTCTTGCTTTTCTTTTCTTTCTTGCTTTGCCTTTCTTTCTTTCTTTCTTTCTTTCTTTCTTTCTTTCTTTCTTTCTTTCTTTCTTTCTTTCTTTCTTTTCTTTTCTTTCTTTTCTTTTCTTTTCTTTCTTTTCTTTCTTTTCTTTTCTTTTCTTTTCTTCTTTCTTTCTTTCTTTCTTTCTTTCTTTCTTTCTTTCTTTCTTTCTTTCTTTCTTTCTTTCTTTCTTTCTTTCTTTCTTTTCTTTCTTTCTTTCTTTCCCTCCCTCCCTCCCTTCCCTTCCTTCCCCTTCTTCCCTTTCTTTCCTTTCTTTCCTTCGAGATGGGGTCTCACTCTCTCTCCCAGGCATAGCTCACTGCAGCCTCCAACTCCTGGGCTCAAGCAATCCTCCGAGCTCAGCCTCCCGAGTAGCTGGGACATCAGGTGTGGGTTACTCTCGCGTCTGTCTCCCAGTTAGACTGGGAGCCCCATGAATGCATGGCACAGGACCGTCTCATCATTACTGAGTCTCCGGGATCATCCAGCGAGGGGTCAGCACAAAATGGGCATTGAACAAAGATTTGGTGAGTAGCTAAGGATCCCCAGTCTGTCCACGAGGGCACAGGGGACACCTGACCCTGTGGTTTCCGTTGTACCCACTCCAAGGCACACGACTTGGCGAATGGAGCGAGAATTGGATTTCAGTTTGCCCCTTTGCTCCGTCAGCCGCGCGCCCTGATGCAGTGCACAACCTTAGCTGCTGTGCGCGGTAGGGGGCGACTCCTCGGCCTGCGAGCAGAAAGGAAAGTTCAGATTCCTCTAACATAGTGAACCAGCCTTGCAGGAGGACGAGAAGGAAGGAATGAGAAGAGAGGACTACCTCCACCTTTTCCATCCCGTTGGTCTCCTGGGTCTGGGAGCGCTGGGCTCCACCCTGTCTGAACTAACACCTGGCAGTTGGGCGTGCCTCAGTTTCCCAGAGGCGGGGCATTCCTCCGTCGCCGCCCCCCACCTCCCCTTTTTCCTCTTCCTCTTGGGGCTTCTGCGGCCGCGCCTCTAGCACTCCCGGAACTGAAAACTAGGTGCCAGACAGTCCGGAGGCGGGGGCCACGTCAGCGGGGCCACCCCGGGCTCGCGGGGTCCCGGCGGGCGCCATGCGGAGGGGCGCGCTTCTGGCGGGCGCGCTGGCCGTGTACGTCGCGTACCTGGTGCTGGGCGCGCTGCTGGTGGCGCGGCTAGAGGGGCCGCACGAAGCCCAGCTCCGAGCCGAGCTGGAGACACTGCGGGCGCAGCTGCTGCAGCGCAGCCCATGTGTGGCGGCCCCTGCCCTGGACGCCTTCGTGGAACGAGTGTTGGCGGCCGGACGGCTGGGGCGCGTCGTGCTTGCCAACGCTTCGGGGTCCGCCAACGCCTCGGACCCTGCCTGGGACTTCGCCTCTGCTCTCTTCTTCGCCAGCACACTGGTCACCACCGTGGGTACGTAAGCGCCGCCCCGCAAGGCGGCGAGGACCCGGGATCCCCCCTTCATCCTTACCCCCTGAGGACCCCAGAGCCCTCACGAATACCCTTATTCCAATCCCCTCTGGGCTTCGGATCCCCCGAAAAGACTCCCGTGAGGACCCGGGACCCAGGCTCATGATATCTGCTCTGCTCTGGGGGCCCAAGTCCCAGCCCTTCCTCCTAAGTAGGAAACACCCAGCTCTCCTCAGAGTACCTTTGCAGAGTGCAGCTGGGACCCCGTTCCTCGGTCTTTTTCCTTTTTCTTTTTCTTTTTTTGAGACAGGGCTCACTGTGTTGCCCAGGCTGGAGTTCAGTGGCACGATCTTGGATCACTGCAGCCTCTGCTTACTGGTTTCAAGTTATTCTCCTGCTTCAGCCTGCTGAGTAGCTGGGATTACAGGCACATACCACCATGCCTAGCTAATTTTTGTATTTTTAGTGGAGACAGAGTTTCATCATGTTGGCCAGGCTAGTCTCGAACTCCTGACCTCAGATGATCAGCCCACCTCGCCCTCCCAAAGTGCTGGCATTACAGGCGTGAGTCACTGCATTGGGACTCCATTCCCCGGTCTTAATCCTCCTGGTGACCCGGGTCTGTCCAGTCCCCTCTAAGCCTAGGACTGTCCTCAGAGATCTCCAGCAAGGACCTAGGATCCGCTTCCCTCCAAGGGAGATCCTTGCCCCCTCTGGACCCAGATCTCAACCATGCCAGGACCCCTGACTTTATCTCTAGTCTGGGTCTGCCACCCTTGCCATGTCTCCTGACCCTCCAGATATGTCTTTCTGGGAAACCCCCCTGGAGAAACCCCATCTCAACCTTCTCCTGACCCTGGCACCCCAGCGAGGACCCTAAATCTCCAGACCTCTCAGGGTGTCCTCACTAAAGACCTCCCTCCCAGCAGAGATTCCTCAGCAAGGACCTGGCACCACCATCTGGGACTCCTGCCCCTCTGGACCTAGGCCTCTGCTCCAGACCCTCGTCCCTCTCCTGGCCCCACACTCCCCAGCAGGCAACTCTGACCCCAGACACAAAAGCCATCCCTACGTACCCCACCCCATCTTGACATCTCCCCCATATAGGGTCACCCTCAGTGCAGGGTTTTCCTCCCAATAGGGACACCACCTGTTCCCTCTGGACCTGGGACTCCCAATTCAGCAGCCCCAGCTAGGGATGTGTCAAAAGGACCCACAGTGGAGGAACCCCGAGTTTTGGGAAACCCTGAGAAGCCAGACTTGGGAAATCTCTTTGTTGCCAGGCTCTGCTGCTCCCCCAGCCCCTTCTCAGCCCCCAGACTTCCTCTTTATTTCTTTGTTGGGGATTTGTTGAGGAGAGGAGGCTGGCGCAGGGCTAGCCCAGACTCCTAACTCCCCCTCCCGACCAGAAATAGGGGGCAGCTTTTGCTTTTGGTCCCCTGGCAGCAGAGCTGGGGGACTTCTCATTAGCTGGCCTCCCCTGGGGCCTGCCCACGCTGCCAGGGCGGCCTGACCTGCTTCTGAGCTTCCCTGGGTCATGTGCGTGCTTCCTGCCTCTTCCCCGATCCTGGCTTCTAAGAAGTCATCCCTGGCAGGGCAGGTGAGGGAAGCCAGACACAGTCAGGCACAGCCTGGCCGCATCCCTGCTCAGCCACGGCTCATTGCCAGGCTTCAGTGTCCTCCCCCGTTGCTAAAATGGAGATAATAACACTCCCCATTTCCCTGTAATAGCAATAGCCTGACAGAGGACTTGCCAGTGCATGCTTTAACTCACTTAATCATCACAACAGCCTTGGAAGGCAGGCACCTTTATAGGCTCTATATTTTTAGCCATGGAAACCGAGGCCTAGAGAAGTTGGGTAACTTTCCCAAGATCACACAGCAAAGATGGCATAGAGTGGAGATTTAGTCAAGGCCATCAGGCTGCAGACTCGCATGCTGCTAGCCAACAGACCACACTAGTTAGAAGAAGGATGCTGTGTGTGTTGTAAAAGAAAAAAAAATGTGCTAACACTTGTTAAAAACGGAAAGTTATTGTGGTAGAGGAGAGACCATTGCAAAGGCCAGAGAGACTGAATATAGCAAACACAGCTGGAGATTTACGGCTAACAAGTAGAATAAGGGAGTCAGTGGATGGAAGAATACTAAGAGGAGAGGCATTGGGGTAGGGGGATTCTTGCTAAACTCAGCTTCACAAGATTCTTGCTAAAGACAGGCCAAGGACTTAGATATCAAGAGCGGGTAGATGAGGGCCGGGTGCAGTGGCTCATGCCTGTAATCCCAGCACTTTGGAAGGCCGAGGTGGGCAGATCACCTGAGGTTAGGAGTTTGAGACCAGCCTGACCAACATGGTGAAACCCGTCTACTAAAAATAGAAAAATCAACCAAGCGTTGTGGCAGGTGCCTGTAATTCCTGCTACTCGGGAGGCTGAGGCAGGAGAATCACTTGAACCTGGGAGGCAGAGGTTGCAATAAGCTGAGATCATGCCACTGCACTCCAACCAGGGCAACAGTGAGACTCTGCCTCAAAAAAACAAAAAACAGGTCGGGCGCGGTGGCTCATGTCTGTAATCCCAGCACTTTGGGAGGCCAAGGCGGGCGGATCACGAGGTCAGGAGATTCAGACCATCCTGGCTAACACGGTGAAACCCCGTCTCTACTAAAAAAAAAAAAAAAAAACCAGCCAGGTGAGGTGGCGGGCGCCTGTAGTCCCAGCTACTCGGGAGGCTGAGGCAGGAGAATGACGTGAACCTGGGAGGCGGAGCTTGCAGTGAGCCGAGATCCGGCCACTGCACTCCAGCCTGGGCCACAGAGGGAGACTTTGTCTCAAAAAACAAACAAACAAACAAACAAAAAAGAGTGGTGGATGAGGAATTTGATCAGATATCGGGGCGGGTGGTTTGTAGGATTCTTGCTAAAACTGGGCCTACTTAAGGACTTAGGAGTCAGACTGAAGTGTGGTCAAGGAGGGAGTCTTTGTCCGTGTGAAGCGCTGGTAATAACTGATGTTTACTGAGTTAATGTTGACTGTTTTCATTGTGGGCGAAGCCTTGAATACATCTGGAGAAATGGAAAACCAATTAAACATGATTCAGAGAGACCTCTTCCCACAATGCCCTTCATTTGGTCATAGGCCCAAGTCTTGGCCCTGGAATTGATCCGGGCAGCCTTGCTGCACTTGAGGCAGGAGGAAGCGGGTAGTCCTACCCGGAACTGGGAATCGGAGAGAGGAAGTGAGCATTACAATCCTTGTAACTCTTTCCACGCTCTTGCTAGGCGCTATGCCCTATCCCAACCTGGTAGGATTACTACCACATTTGAGGAAGGGATTGTTTGTTGGTTTTGAAACAGGGTTTCGCTCTGTCACCCAGGCTAGAGTGCAGTGGCGCAGTCATAGCTCACTGCAGCCTTGACCTCTTGGGCTTAAGTGAGCCTCCCACCTCAGCCTCCTGAGTAGTTGGAACCACGGGTGCGTGCTACTGCGCCCGGCTAATTTTTTTTTGTAGAAGGTTGTCTCCTTAGGTTGCCCAGGCTGGTCTCAAAATCCTCCTAGGCTCAAGCGGTTCTCCTGCCTTGGCCTCCCAAAGTGCTGAAATTACAGGTGTGAGCCGCCTTGCCCAGCCAGGAAGGTACTACTTAACGAGCCCATTTTTGCAGAATAGGGAACCTAGGCTCAGAGGGGAGGAGTCATTTGGCCAAAGTCATGCAGGGAGTAAATGGCAAAACACTGTTTTGGACTCAGCTCTTTGAAATAGTAACTTGAGGCTCACAGGCCCCATGCTTTTCAAACTCTATGATTTGGCCGGGCGCGGTGGCTCAAGCCTGTAATCCCAGCACTTTGGGAGGCCGAGACGGGTGGATCACGAGGTCAGGAGATCGAGACCATCCTGGCTAACACAGTGAAACCCCGTCTCTACTAAAAGATACAAAAACTAGCTGGGCGAGGTGGCGGGCGCCTGTAGTCCCAGCTACTCGGGAGGCTGAGGCAGGAGAATAGCGTGAACCTGGGAGGCGGAGCTTGCAGTGAGCTGAGATCCGGCCACTGCACTCCAGCCTGGGCGACAGAGCGAGACTCTGCCTCAAAAAAAAAAAAGAAAAAAAAAAAGAAAAAAAAAAGAAAAAGAAAAAGAAAAAGAAAAAAACATGTATCAAACTCTATGATTTGTCTATTTATAAAGATTTCTCTTTTTTTATTATTATTATTTTTTATAGAGACAGGGTCTTCCTATGTTACCAACTCTGCTGGTGTTGAACTCCTGGGCTCAAGTAATCCTCCCACCTCGGCCTCCCAAAGTGCTGGGATTATAGGAATGAGCCACCTCACCCGGCCTATTTATAAGGATTTCATGTCATTTGCAAACCTTCCAGGCTGCTGGAGTTTCCCCATCAAAAACCCTTGTATTAATAAGGGTTGGAGTCATACGTGATACACCTCAAATTACAGTTGCTTAAATAAGAAGTGTATCTCTTGTTCACATTCCAGGTAGTCAGTCCAAGTGGTACTGCATGGTCAGAGACCTAGGACTCCTTCTCAGCAAAACCCTGGTATTCCTGCCTAACTCCTCTGCGCAACTTCCATTCCCAAGGTCACCTAATGGTCCAAGATGGCTGTGTAGCTCCAGCCTCCATGTCTGTGCTCCAGCCAGCAAGAGGAGGGAGGAAAGAAGGGAGACTGGCATCCCTCGCTCCTTAAGGACCCTTCCTGGAAGTTGCCTGACTCTTTCATGAATACCTCCGTGGCCAGAAATTAGTTGCAGAACCACACCTGGCTCTGCAAGGGGGGAGGGAATGTCCTTATTCCAAAAGGCCATGTAGCCAGCTAAAACCCAGAGGGAGCCTTTTTATTATTATTATTATTGTTATTATTGTTTTTTAAAGTAGAGATAGGGTCTTCCTATGTTGCCCAGGCTAGTCTCAAATTCCTGGGCTCAAGTGATCCTCCCACCTCAGCCTCCCAGAGGGCTGGGATTACAGGTGTGAACCACCATTGCCCAGCTGGGATCTTTTCCCAATTTTTTTATTGTAGTAAAATATACATAACATAAAAAGTACCATCTTAGTCATTTTTAAGGGTACAGTTCGGTGACATTAAGTACATTCATATTGTTACCATCATCACCTTCATCTTTCTTTTTTTCTTTTTTAATAGATACGAGGCTGGCCATGCCACATGGGAGATGGAGTTATTGCTCAACTCAAATCACTCTCCACCATCATCCATCTCTAAAACTTTTTTTTTCTGAGATGGAGTCTTGCTCTGTCGCCCAGGCTGGAGTGCAGTGGCCGGATCTCAGCTCACTGTAACCTCCGCCTCCCAGGTTAAAGTGATTCTTCTGACTCGGCCTCCCGAGTAGCTGGGACTACAGGCGCCCGCCACCATGCCCGGCTAATTTTTGCAGTTTTAGTAGAGACAGGGCTTCATATTGGTCAGGCTGGTCTTGAACTCCTGACCTCATAATCTGCCCGCCTAGGCCTCCCAAAGTGCTGGGATTATAGGCGTGAGCCCTGGCGCCCAGCCTCTGGAACTCTTTTCATCTTGCAGAACTGAAATTCTATACCCATTAAACCCTAACTGCCGATTCGCCCTTTTCCCTAGCCCCTGGCAACCACCATTCTACTTTCTGTCTCTGAAGTTGACTAACTACTTTGTATAGAATAATACAGTGTCTGTCCTTTTATGACTGGTTTGTTTCACTGAGCGTAATGTCATTAAGGTTCATTCATGTTGTACCATGTGTCAGAATTTCCTTCCTTTTTAAGGCTACATAACATCCCACTGTATGTGTAAACCACATTTTACTTATTCATTAATCCGTAGATGGAAATGTGTTGCTTCTGAGGTTTAGTTATTGTGAATAATGCTGTTATGAACATGGGTATACAGATACAGATATCCCTTTGAGACCCTGCTTTAGGTTCTTTTGAGTATATTAAAAAACGGGGCTGGGTGTGGTGGCTCACATCTGTAATCCTAGCACTTTGGGAGGCCGAGGCAGGCGGATCACCTGAGGTCAGGAGTTTGAGACCAGCCTGGCCAAAATACTAAAAATACAAAATTAGCCGGGCGTGGTGGTGCATACCTGTAGTCCCAGCTACTCGGGAGGCTGAGGCAGGAGAATCACTTGAACCTGGGAGGCAGAGGTTGCAGTGAGCCAAGATCGCCCCATTGCACTCCAGCCTGGGCAACAAGAGCGAAACTCCGTCTCAAAAATAAATAAATTACACTTTGCCAAAGTGAGTCAGTCCCACCAACACCTGAATTCCCCTTGATCATATTTCTGCTTATAGAATTCATACCCACACCGAGCTTATTGTGTTCCCACAGTCCTTTGGGAGCCCAGGGGGGCTTGTCACACCTATTTTCATTTTTTATTTTTATTTTTTTGAGACAGAGTCTCACTCTGGGGCACAATGGTGCAATCTTGGCTCACTGCAACCTCTGTCTCCTGGCATTAAGCGATTCCCCCACCTCAGCCCCCAAGTAGCTGGGATTACAGGCATATGCCACAATACCCGGCTAATTTTTGTACTTTTTGGTAGAGACAGAGTTTCATCATGTTGGCCAGGCTGGTCTCGAACTCCTGACGTCAGGTGACCTGCTCTCTTGGCTTCCCAAAGTGCTGGGATTACAGGCGTGAGCCACCACGCCTGGCCCATTGTCTCACCCATTTTAGAATAGGGCAAACTGAAGCTCAGAGCCAGGCAACAGCCTGCACCCTTCATTCTTTGTTTTGACAAGTACTAATCGAGTGCCCACAGCAGTGATGAAACACACAGAACCTCCTGCTTTGCTGAACTGGCAACCTATGAGAAGACAGTAAACCATAGAGCGTGCTAGAAGGTATTAAGTGCTATGGGAAAAAAAAGCGTTGGGTAAGAGGATGTTACCATTTAGGGTGGTCAAGGGAAGGCCTCACTGAGAAGGTGACATTTGGATGAAGAAGTCCTGGAGGGGAGCATTCTTTGGGGAAGGAACAGCTGGTGCAATGGCCGTGGGGTGGGAGCGTGCTGCCCTGGTGGACTCTGTGGGGCTTCACGGGTCATGATGAGCACTCTTTCCTTTTACCTGAGTAAAAGGTAAATGGGGCCACAGAGGGGCTCTGGGCAGGGCAGGGGCATGACTGAGCTCAGGTGTTGGCAGGCTCTGCTGGCTGAACAGATTGTGGGGGCTGGGGTTGGGGAAGGGAGACCCAGGAGGAGGCTGCTGTGGTGGACAGGACCAGGGTGGGGGCCGTGGGACTGGGTAGGGGAGAAGTAAGTGGGTTCTGGGCCTATTTGAAGGTTGAGATAATAGGCTTCACTGACAGATGGAGTGTGGCATGAGTGACGAGGGCATCAGGGATGAAGGCAAGGCTCCTGGCCTGAACATTGAAGGACAGAGGTGCCATTGCCTGGGACAGGAGGGAATGTAGGGAGAGGCAGGTTTGGGATGAAATCAGGTCTAGGTGTGTGTGTCCACAGATATCTCGGTGGAGGTGTTGAGTGGGCAGAAGGATTTTCCCTGGCTGGGTCCTGGGGGTTAGATCTGTAATTCCAACACCTTGGAAGGCAAAGGCAGGAGGATCACTAGAGCCCAGGAGCTCAAGACTAGCCTGGGCAACAGAGTAGGACCCCATCTCTACAAAAAAAAATTTAAAATCAACTGGGCGTGCTGGACAGTGCCTGTAGTCCCAGCTACTTGGGAGGCTGAGGTGGGAGGATCACTTGGGTCCAGGAGTTCAAGACTGCAGTGAGCTATGATGGCACTACTGCACTCCAGCCTAGGTGACAGAGTGATCCCCCCATCTCTAAAAAGAAAAAGATTTCCCCTTTACTCTCTTTACTCCCCTAGGCTATGGGTACACAACGCCACTGACTGACGCGGGCAAGGCCTTCTCCATTGCCTTCGCGCTCCTGGGCGTGCCGACCACTATGCTGCTGCTGACCGCGTCAGCCCAGCGCCTGTCGCTGCTGCTGACTCACGCGCCCCTGTCTTGGCTGAGCATGCGTTGGGGCTGGGACCCCCGGCGGGCGGCCTGCTGGCACTTGGTGGCCCTGCTGGGGGTCGTAGTGACCATCTGCTTTCTGGTGCCGGCTGCGATCTTCGCCCACCTCGAGGAGGCCTGGAGCTTCCTGGATGCCTTCTACTTCTGCTTTATCTCTCTGTCCACCATTGGCCTGGGCGACTACGTGCCCGGGGAGGCCCCCGGCCAGCCCTACCGGGCCCTCTACAAGGTGCTGGTCACAGGTGAGCTGGGCAGCTAGGGCGGGGCTTTGAGGAGGACCTAGCCCTGTCCCTGGGGGAGTTGAAGGCACACAGTCCCACTCTGGGACTTCCAAAAGGGATCCAACCCCCCCCCCCCCGGGGGCCCCTGTAGAACCACCCCCCCGCCAGGAAGATCTGAGCCCCAGGATGACCTATACCCCTCCTCCGCCTCCACAGTCTACCTCTTCCTGGGCCTGGTGGCCATGGTGCTGGTGCTACAGACCTTCCGCCACGTGTCCGACCTCCACGGCCTCACGGAGCTCATCCTGCTGCCCCCACCGTGCCCTGCCAGCTTCAACGAGGATGAGGACGATCGAGTGGACATCCTGGGCCCCCAGCCGGGGTCGCACCAGCAACTCTCTGCCAGCTCCCACACCGACTACGCTTCCATCCCCAGGTAGCTGGGGCAGGCTCTGCCAGCCTTGGGTGTGCCTAGCCTGGGACTGAGGGGCCCAGGCGACCAGAGCTGGCTGTACAGGAATGTCTGCCAGCAGAGCAGGCGATCCTGAGGCCTTGCCACCCACCATCTGTCCTTTGTTTCCCAGCATCTGGCTGGGATGTGAGGGGCGGCACTCCCTGTCCCCATGTCCCAGGCTCCACTGGGCACCAACATGACCTTGTTCTCCATCCTTTCTCTCATCCTCTTTACACTGTGCCTCTCTGGCTCTCTGGCGTTCTCGCCATCTCTGTCTTTCCCTCTTGCTGTCTGTGTTTCTCATTCTCTTTCATGTTTTGTCTGTGTCTCTCAATTAACCACTTGTCAATTGCTGATTCTACCGGGCTCTGGCTTCGGACCTCATTTCAGGCACCAGATTGGTCACTACACCCTGGACAAGTGACTGACCCTCTCTGAGCCTTGATTTCCTCAGCTGCCAAATGGGAAGAATAGACGAATTCACCCCTAAACCCCTCCTGTGTGCTGGCCCTGTGCTAGACAGTGCTGAAGATATAGTTGGGGGTGGAGAACTGCCCTTATGGAGCTTGCAGTCCAGTGAGGTGGACAGACCTGTCCCCAGACAGTGATGGCCCACAATGGGCAGGACTTTAATGGAGGAGGTGAGGTGATAAAAGCACAGGCAGAGTGGTCAGGGCTGAAGTTGGAGAAGCACAGGGACTAGGCCCAATCCAGCCTAGAAGGTCAGGGAGGACTTCCTGGAGGAGGGGACATCGAACTAAGACCTGAACTATGAGAAATAGGTGGGAAGAAGTTGTACCTGACTCATTTTTCTCAGGTGTCTCCAGGGAGCAGGACCCATGGAGGGAGCCCTGGTGTAGGCCTAGGCGGTAGACTCTTCCTCAGCAGCCTGGCAGGCAGGAAACGGACATAGGACCCGAGCCTAGATCTGAATGGCATGGAGGTGCTGCCCGTAACCCTAACACCATTGTAAGAGCTGTCCCCATTTGTATGTTGTAGTAATTGTATGTTGTGCCCTGGGCCCTGGAATCATCCTTGTTGAGCTCAAATCCCAACTTAACCTTATCTGGCCTGTGTCCTTGGGCAGTCACCCTACCTCTCTGATTTCGTTTCCTTATCTGTAAATGGTGATCATCATAATACAACTTCAAAAGATGATTTCAGGCTGAGTGTGGTGGCTCACGCCTATACGCCCAGCACTTTGGAAGGCTGAGGAAGGAGGATCGCTTGAGGCCAGGAGTTTGAGACTAGCCTGGGCAACACAGTGAGACCTTATCTCAACAACAACCACAAAATCTAAAAATTAGCTGGGTGTGGTGGTGCACGCGTGTGATCCCGGCTACTCCAGAGGCTGAGGTGGAAGGATCACTTGAGGCCAGGAGTCTGAGGCTGCAGTGAGTTATGACACCACTGCTGCACTCCAGCCTGGGCGACAGAGTGAGACCCTGTCTCTAAGAAAAAGAAAAGAAAAGAAAAAAGAGGAGAAAGAGGCCGGTTGCAGTGACTCAGTCCTATAATCCCAGCTCCTTGGTAGGGCCAAGGTGGGAAGATCGCTTGAGGCCAGGAGTTTGAGACCAGCCTGGCCATCATAGCAAGACTCCATCTCTACAAAAATTAAAAATTTTAAAAGGGCTGGGGCATTTGAGCCGGGTCCCAACAGTAGACAAGTAGAAAAGGCATGGAGAGGGCATGCCAGATGGGAGCAGCTGTGTGCAAAGGCCTGGAGATGGAAAAGCATGCTGGCCACCGGCTTCTGACAAGCAGTTTACTGTGAACGGTATGGAGGGAATGAGGGAAGGAGGACAGAGGGGTGGGCACAAGCACCCCTTAGTGTCCTTAAATGACAAGCGAGGGAACCTGGTCTCTTTCCTGAGGGCCCTAGAGAGCCATGGAAGGGTTTAGAGTAGGAGAGGGTCATGGTTAGGTTTGGGTTGTAGGATGATTCCCCTAGTTGCTCTGGAGAGGTGGAGCAGACAGGGGACTGAGGCTGGGTGCCTGTGGGAGGCTAGGGCAGGAATGAAGAGGGAGACGATGGGTCTGGGCTGAGCTGTGTAAGGAAGGAGGAGTGGGTGCGGGGACACTCAGAAGCCAGGTGGTCAGGCCATAGGCCTCACAGACTGGAGGAATGCGGCTAGGGAAGGGCCCATGGAGTGGCCAATTATCCCTGAGATGGGGACCTGGGAGAAAGAGCAGGTTTTAGCGGAGATGCTGAGGCTGCTTTAGTATATGGTGGGTGCGAGGGGCAAAAGGGACACCCAGGGGTGTATCAAGAGGTCATAGGCGGGCAGGCCAGGTGTCTCACACCTGTAATCCCAGCACTTTGGGAGGCCGAGGCGGGTAGCTCACCTGAGGTCATGAGTTCGAGACCAGCCTGGCCAACATGGTGAAATCCCATCTCTACTAAAAATACAAAAATTAGCTGGGCATGGTGGTGCACACGCCTGTAGTCCCAGCTACTTGGGAGGCTGAGACAGAATTGCTTGAACCTGGGAGATGGAGGCTGCAGTGGGCCAAGATTGCACCACTGCACTCCAGCCTGGGCGAGACAGAGACTCTGTCTGTCTCAAAAAAAAAAAGGTCATAGAGGCTGGGCATAGTGGCTGTCACCTATAATCCTAGCAAATCCTAGCACTTTGGGCGGCCGAGGCAGGAGGATTGCCTGAGCCAAGGGGTTCAAGACCAGCCTGAGCAACATAAAATACAAAAAATACAAAAATTAGCTGGGTGTGGTGGTGTGCACCTGTGGTCCCAGCTACTCAGGAGGCTGAGGTGGGAGGATCACTTGAGCCTGGGAGGTCAAGGCTGCAGTGAGCTGTGATTGTACCACTGCATTCCAGCTTGGGTGACACAGCAAGACCCTGTCTCAAAAAAGAAAAAAAAAAAAAGAAAATACTTATATTGGATATAGTACGTGCCAGACACGATTCCAAGCCCTTGATACATTCTCTAGATTTTACAGATGAGGAAAGGAGATCCAGAGATGTTAAATACTTGCCCAAGGTCACACAGAAAGTGCAACACTGGGATTTGAACAAGGTTTTGGTTGGGCATCTTTTCCTGTGGGAGCTCAGAAATATCTGTTGTCTAGCCCTTTCTCAGCCTCCCATCCTTCTTGGTTCCTTACCTATGTCACAGTTGACTTTGAGCTAAAGTCATCTCAGGGCGGCTAGGTGCCTATGTGAGCTGGCGTCATTTCTTACTGTTTCTCCTTCCAAATACCTCCAGGAAAAAAAAGCAAGTCCTTTTCGGTCCAAGACATTAAAAAAGCCAGGCACAGTGGCTCATGCGTGTAATCCCAACACTTTGGGAGGCTGAGGCAGGAGGATTGCTTGAGCCCGGGAGTTGGAGACCAGCCTGGACATGTTAACATAGCAAGACTCCTCTACAGAAAATGTTAAAAATGAGCTGGGTGTGGTGGCGCATACCTGTAGTCCCAGTTACTCGGGAGGCTGAGGCAGGAGGATCGCTTGAGCCTAGAAGGTTGAGGCTGCTGCAGTGAGTCATGATCACACCACTGGACTCCAGCCTGGGCTACAGATCAAGACCCTGTCCCAGGAGAAAAAAAAGGGCCAGGCACAGTGGCTCACGCCTGTAATTCCAGTACTTTGGGAGGCCGAAGCGGGCAGATCACGAGGTCAGGAGATCAAGACCATCCTGGCTAACACGGTGAAACCCCGTCTCTACTAAAAATACAGAAAATTAGCTGGGTGTGGTGGCACGTGCCTGTGATCCCAGCTACTCAGGAGGCTGAGGTAGGAGAATCACTTGAACCCGGGAGGCAGAGGTTGCAGTGAGCCGAGATCATGCCATTGCACTCCAGCCTGGGAGACAGAGTGAGACTCCGTCTCAAAAAAAAAAAAAAAAAGGCCGGGCGCGGTGGCTCAAGCCTGTAATCCCAGCACTTTGGGAGGCCGAGACGGGCGGATCACGAGGTCAGGAGATCGAGACCATCCTGGCTAACACGGTGAAACCCCGTCTCTACTAAAAATACAAAAAACTAGCCGGGCGAGGTGGCGGGCGCCTGTAGTCCCAGCTACTCGGGAGTCTTGAGGCAGGAGAATGGCGTAAACCCGGGAGGCGGAGCTTGCAGTGAGCTGAGATCCGGCCACTGCAGTCCAGCCCGGGCTACAGAGCAAGACTCCGTCTCAAAAAAAAAAAAAAAAAAAAAAAAAAAGAAAAGAAAAAAAGTGTGTGCTAAAAAAATTCAACAGGTACTAAAGAGTGTATGGTGTAAAGTAAGTCTTTCTCCTACACTCAGACCATGAATGGATGTCTCAGGTCTTCTCAGGCACATTCGATGTGTGCATCAGCCATATGCATGTGTGTGCCATTTACTTTTCACTCTACACAAGTAGTACCTAATATGGTGAGGTTGTTATGATTACAGCCTTTAGAGGCAAAGTTCCTGGGTATAAATCTGAACTCCGTCACTCCCAAGCTAAGTGGCTTTGGGCAAGTGATTTCACCTCCCTGTGCCTCAGTTTGCTAGTCTGTACAATGGGATGGTAATAGCACCTACCTCATGGACTTGAGAAGTCAGCAACTTCATATCTGTAAAGCCCTTAGAGCTAGCAGTATGTGGCACTCAATAAAATGTTGACTAATGATGATTCTTACTTCTGTAATATGTTTTTTTGGTACTAATTATAAATATTAATATTTTAATGTCACTTTTCTATTATTCTTCTGTACCTTGTTTTGTCACCAACACAGTGTAATTCAGAGATAATTTCAGAGACACACAATAGGTCTTTTTTATTTTATTTTATTTTTTCTTTTTTGAGACCAAGCCTCGCTCTGTCACCCAGGCTGGAGTGCAGTGGCACGATCTCGGCTCACTGCAACTTCCACCTCCTAGGTTCAAGCGATTCTCCTGCCTCAGCCTCCCGAGTAGCTGGGATTACAGGCACCTGCCACTGTGCCCGGCTCATTTTTGTATTTTTAGTAGAGACAGGGTTTCGCCATGTTGGCCAGGCTGGTCTCGAACTCTAGACCTCAAGTGATCCACCCGCCTCGGCCTCCCAAAGTGTTGGGATTACAGGCGTGAGCCACCACACCTAGCCACAATAGGTCTTATATCTTATGGTGCCTCCTCTGGGACACATGTCCCATAAATAATTTCAACATCCCCTGTTGATGATATGTGGGTGTTTTCCAGTATTTTGCTGGTACAACAATGCTGCAGCAAACATCTTGCGGTTTAAGATCTAATGAAGGCATCGAGTGAGGCAGGAGTTCAAGACCGTACTGGGCAACATAGCAAGACCCTCCCTGTTCAAAAAATTTAAAAATTAGCCGGGTGTGGTGGAACACCAGCTATTCAGTAGGCTGCGGCAGGAGGATCACTCCAACCCAGATGTTTGGGACTAGCTTGGACAGCATGTGAGACCCCATCTCTGCTAGGCATGGTGGCTCATGTCTGTAATTCTAGCACTTAGGGAGGCTGAGATGGGAGGATTGCTTGAGGCCAGGAGTTTTAGACCAGACTGGTCAAAATGGTGAGACCCCATCTCTATTTTTTTTTTTTTTTTAAGATGAAAAAAGGTCAGGTGCAATGACGCACATCTGTAATCCCAGCACGTTGGGAGGCTGAAGCGGGTGGATCGCTTGAGGTCAGGAGTTCGAGACCAGCCTGGCCAACATGGTGAAACCTCATCTCTACTAAAAATACAAAAATTAGTCAGGTGTGGTGGCAGATGCCTGTAATCCCAGCTACTCAGGAGGCTGAGGCAGGAGGATTGCTTGAAATGGGGAGGTGGAGGTTGCAGTGAACCGTGATGGCACCACTGCACTCCAGCCTGGGTGACAGAGTGAGACTCTGTCTCAAAAAAAAAAGAAGATGATGATGAAAAAGAAACCCCCATCTCCTAAAAAAAAAAAAAATTAAAAATAAAACTAATTAACTGGACGTGGTGACTCGCATCTGTATGTAGTTCCAGTTACTTGGGAGGCTGAGATGGGAGGATCACTTGAGCTGGGGAGCTGCAGTAAGCAATGACTGCACCACTCCACTCCAGCCTGGGTGAGAAAGTAAGACCCTGTTTCTAAAAAAATAAAATAAAATAAAAAATTAAAGGGCTCCTGTACATGGCTACCGATGTTCTTCCCTTAGAAGATGTCACCGTTCCCTGGCCTGTGGGGGTGAGCCGGGGTGGGAA